AATTGCTTGTGGAGTTACGGGGGAAGAAATTGAACTTTATGGGTGAATTCACCTGCAACATTTCTTTTATTGGTAAAACTAAAAAGTGATTGTGTTTGTATTAAAGAATAGAGATAATTCGGAACAAACTGGATTGCATTATTTGATCTATGGAAGCTCCCAATTAACTCAATCAGCAAGAAAATAAATATTGTTACCTTGAGTGCTAATACGGCAACTGAAAAATTAAAGAAAGAATTAAAAAATAGTTTTCCAGACGTCTTTGCAGACGGTCTTGGTAAATGCACCAGAACAAAAGATAAAATTGATGTAAAACAGAATGTTTACATCAGTATTTAAACGAAAAAGAAGTGTACCTTTTGTGGCATTAATAACCTATTAATAAGGAATTAGACAGACTGGAAAAATTAAGAATTTTATCAAAAGTAGGCTATTTCAAATGGGCATCACCAGTAGTTTAGAAAAAAAAAAACAAAAACAAACCAATATCTGCATACATAGTGATTTTTCAACAGGATTAAATGTAAGTTTGAAAGAATGTAACTACCAGTTATCAAGTCCAGAGGACATTTTTGCCAAATTAAATGGTGGTAATTTTTTTTTCTAATTTGGATCTTTTGGATGCTTACCTACAAGTACTAGTAGATAAAGAGTACTCAAAACTATTAACAATTAACACTCTGTGGTAAGAAATCAAAATAAAAAAAAAAAAGGAAAAAAAAAAAAAAAAAAAAAAAAAAAACGTGCTTCCTTTATACAGCTGAGGATCGACCATAATTTGCATGCAAATGACGAGACAACGAGATTTCACGTTAACTGTCTGAGACCGCCTGGCATAAAACATGGGCAACGCCATTTTGGTTCTTTTTACCGCTGAGCAACTGGATTTTGCACGATTCACAGATTTGTGGGCGTTTCCGAGGTAAGCGGTTTTTCACAATTTTCCCCACACACTCATAAAGGACTATACAAATTTAACTGACTTCCTTTTTGGTATAAAGGTAGCACCAAGTATATTCCAACAGATTATGGATACAATGCTTGCCAGTTTGGATTGCGCACAAGCATATTTAGATGATGTATTTATAAAAAGTAAGACCCAAAATCAGCATACAGATTAAAAAAAAAAGAAAAAAGTATTTGAGAGAATTAAAGATTATGGTTTTAACATCAGTGAAGAAAAATGTGAAATGTTTATAACAACAGTTAAATATCTTGGACAAATTATCGATGTGAACAGAAGATGACCAGATCCTTCAAGGTCAAATACAATAAGGGACAGACCTACCTCAACAAATGTAACAAAGTTACAAGCATTTTTAGGCTTTGCCAATTACTATCATGTTTACATACCAAACATGCATGAATTAAGAGCATCCTTGAATAACCTGCTAAGAAAGAAAGTAGACAGGCTTGGTCAGATAAATGTCAAAGTGCTTTTGAAGAGATCAAAAAATTCCTAATGTCAGACTTGTCAATAGCTCATTTTGATTCTAAATTAGAGATTGTGGTTGCAGCAAATGCAAGTGAGTCTGGTATTGGAGCTGTGATACGACACAAATATGAGGACATAAAAACTAAACCAATATCTAATGCTTCAAAATCATTATTAGGAGCTGAAAATAATTACAACTGGATAGAAAAGGAAGCATTGGCTGTCATACGAGTTATGGAAAAAGTTTCATAAGTTTATACATGGTAGAGAATTCACACTACAGACAGACCATTGTCCATTGTTGTCCATATATAGATCAAAAAAGGGTGCTCCCACACCTACAGAAATAACTGCAGTGCTGGGGAACTATCTTATTAAACTAAAATTATAAAATGAGGTTTCTACCACCCAAAAAATTGAGCCACGCAGACATACTATCTAGGTTGATACCAAAATTATGCGAACCACCAGAATACACTTTTAGAAAATAAAATAAGACATATCTCGGCTGATTTACAGGCAAATAAACTAACATACTCAAGAGTGAGAGCCAGATGTGAACGGGACAAGGCCCCGTCACAAAATGACCATTATCTTCGTTTACACATGTTCCCGACATATGAGTTCCAGTCGAAAAATAAAATATTTTAAAGTGTTTCTATTTTTCGACCAATAAAAATGCTTCCCTCCTAATTATACTTGCATCATTTTTCGAACCTGTTAAGCCATAAAGAAAACGCCATAAAAGGGGTCACACAGAAGTACAACGGCAGTCAACAGGAGGCCAGGGAAGAGACCTGTCACAGTCAGTCAGCAGCAGTAGCGCCACGTCAACCAGCGAGAACTACTATGAGAGAACAACCCAGATCTTCAGCCGGCCTATGAACTGTACCACAAGGTAGCTGTCCCAAACCCACACGTTCCTATTGAAATAAATCACGTAAATCTATTTCTACTGTTGTCGTATTTCCTTCTTGCAACCATACGTTTGTCTATAACAACACTGTAATTGCAGTGATAAGGACCAAAAACAAAATAAAGAATGTATTATAAAATACCACAAGAGAACTGCCTGTAACATTAGAGGAAATAAGAATCAGTAAAAGACAACTTTATCAGGAAAATGAAGAAGCAAGATTTAAGAAAAAAATCAAAAAGAGAATGTTACTGAAAGTCAGTCATTTTCATTATGCAGAAAGAATTGTAATGCCAACATCATTGCAAAAACGTATGCTAAAAGATTTGCATGTAAGATGTCCAGGAATTTCATGAATTAATGGGGTGTGATACGTATTGGCCGAGAATGGACCAAGATATTGAAAATTTAGTAAAATTATGCAGAGGTTAAGCTTATGTATTTGACTATTGTGTTAACCCAGAGGTTAAAGTTGAGTGTCACATGTTTTATGAAGAATTAATACTTTTCTTTGTTGTTAATGTATTTTAATTGAATTTGGTAATAAAATAGTTTATTATTTTACACTGAAGTCTTTTTGTTATTACTTGTATTATGGACGTGTGACAGATCACAAAATTATTTTTTCTCATGTTACTATCATATAAAGAAACATAGAATGAATTTTCAAACATTTTGGATTTTATTTATGCTCATATCTTTTTAAATTTTTTTCGTAGTCTGTGGTGTTACTTTTCTGTAGGTTTGCCATTGAATTCTTATTTAGGGTTGTAGCATTCTTTGCAAGGGTTGTCTTGGTAGGACTTAATGGAATCCCCCAAAAACTTGAATGGAATTAAGGAAAATCTGAAACGGAACATTGGTCCCTCTACAAAATTATATCTATCATTTTTAAAGAGGCAATCGATTTAATTTTTTAATTTCCAACATTATTTTTAGTGGATATCTATATTTGAGTAGATGTTCCATTTTTTAAAGAATGTTCATTTCATCTACTAGCCTGCACATTCAGGTTTCCGCAAATATGTAGGTTGAGGTAAGCATTGTTTAAAAACATGAAGTGACTACTCAAATATAGGTATTCACTAAAAATAATGTTTGATGAAAAAAAAAAAAGATTGTGTAAATTGGTGGAAATAAATTTTTAAGTGATCTAATATTTCAAACTCTTTTTTTCAATAATGTGTTGTACATACAGTTAACCCGGATATAAAAAACCCGGATATAAGAGAGATTTTCTCTGGTCCCCAAATTAGAATATACTTACCTAAACAAAATAGAATGAACCCGGATATAAGAAAACCCGGATATAAGAGACTTCTCCGGTCCGACAACTCTCTTATATCAAAAAATTACACTTATATATATATATATATATATATATATATATATATATATATATGTGTGTATATATATATATATATATATATATATATATATATATATATATATATATATATATGTATGTGTATATATATATATATATATATATATATATATATATATATATATATATATATATATATATATATATATATATATATATATGTATATATATATATATATATATATATATACACACACACACACACAGTCATTACCTCATTTGAGGATACCTGTCTAGGGCTGGCAAAAGATTTTGCCAACCATTCCAATAAACAATGTGATAAATAGTGCTTATTATTTTTGTTGTCAATTCTCAAGAACAAAGAAACTGTATTAATTCACTTTCATTAGCTGTTTAGGTTTCATTCCAATTCTAATCATTGCTTTTTAAAACAATAAACATTGCTGAAGCATTGAGGGGGTAGTTAAAATAAAACCAGGTTCATGGGGGAAAACCGTCCTTTTGACAATCCGTCAAAATGCAGGCACAAATGTCCATGTTTGCAAAATGACCCATATATATTATTTTAGATGCGTGTATATGGCGGGGAAATAAACTTAATAAATTTCTGAAAAGTTTTGGCACTTCACCAATATTTGGTCATATTTTGGAAAGTGGTTGAGCTAAGAACACTTCAGCAATCCATCTCTTTACATTGTGCGTCCAAAGAAAATATATGAAGAGTTTATTAACTCTTAACCCAATTAAAACACTTTTTTTTGCAAGTTCTAACACAGGGGTCGGCAACCCTTTTTTGCGGGCCTGACAGCTATACAATGTCTCGGAGGAGGGTCATGATATCAAATCTACAGGATGTTTCAAAAGTCACGCGATAATTGGCAGAAAACATACACTTGTGAAATAGCAACCAGGGAAAATTTGCATGATATCATCTTCCATAATTCAACCAATAAAATTTCTTATTGTCACTTACAGGAACATGATTCCATTTGGTAAATAAATATAAAATTTACAAAGTTATCAATGGTAACACGACTTTTGAAACATCCTGTACTATTATAAATTGTCTCAACCTTACACAAATTTAATGTTATATTATTTAAATAAAGTTCCTTATTTTACTGCAGGAATAACAGGCTAAGAACTAAAACACATTTCTTATTATGGTTTAGTTGGCGGCTGGACAAAAATCCTTCACGGCCTGGATGTGGCCCAGTGGCCAGGGGTTGCCAATCTCTGTTATAACATAATATAATAATGAGGTCATCAGAGAAAATCCCCTCAGAGACCAGTATACTCACCCCGATATAGCATTGAGTGCCTCACATATTCATCAGCAAAACTACTGGGCAGTGGTCACTTCCCATCTCAGTTTTGTGGATTAAACTGTCACACAGTTTGGAGGTCAGTTTTTCAGAAATGACAAAATAATCCAGACGCCTGGTGGAGGGAAAAAAAGAAAAGAAAAATGTAAAATAAATAGAAAGAAATGAATGTCTTGTCTCCTAAGATTTTTCTGTCTTAATTTGGTGACTTTAAAATATTTAGCTTTTGAACTACCTTTTCCTACAAGTTAAACATTTTAAACCGCAAAGTATCTCATGGTAAATTCAGTCTTGTAAATTAATGATTTTTAATATATTATGAAGAGGCACAGAGGAGGAATGGATAGTGACTCAGATTGAAAGAATCGGAGAGCTGAGTTTGAATTACAGTTTTCATTACATTCACTTACATGTGTAGGGTAAATGAGCTTGTGTTCCTCTGACTTTGCTTCTTTTTTCAATCTGCCATTCTTGATTTCGTGCTCATGTCACCAACGTAAAAATTGCTCTCCTTCTCACTGCTTCAGCTTTCTTTTATCATACCAACACCACAGCTGACTGACCAGTTAGTGTCCTTCGCTTTGTCCTCAGTTACCCAAACAAATGGCATCCTCCAGCCCAACCAATCAGCATGTGATTTGATATTAGTTGGACCATGCTAAAAAAAGCCACCATTACAGAATATACACTTCTGGAATAATCTAAAGTGGGGAGGTGAGATTCATGCCATTTTTAAGGAACAAAATGCCACTGCTACATGTTGTTTATTGAGGTAAGGAACTTATTTTCCTTTGCACCAGATGTAAGCCACTCTGACTCACTTACTTTTACATAATTGTCCACCACAACATGTTAATAGCCTTGGGAAAGGTATGAATCCATCTCTTCCCCACAGCTATGGGTAAATAGCAGGACAGACTGGGCTTTGATTTGGCAACTAGAAGTTAAACTTTGAATTAAAATGAACTACCTGCTGCTTTGTAGGTCCTACCTCTTTAACTTCTGCAAAAGGAACAGTTACGCTATTGCATTATTCTGCCTTGAATGAAACCATAAACCACAACGGGAGATGAAGGGGTGTGATGACCACAACAGCACAAAGTGCACTCACTGAATAAAACGATGGTTATGAGGATATGTTGGATAGATAACAGTTGATCCAAGATTTGAAGAGGTTAAGGATCGTAGTGATTGGGGATGCATCCTCCTTGGAGTTTGTTCCATAAAATGACGGTTCCAGGGAAGAATCTGTTTGAGTGAAACTTCCTCCTTACCAATGAAATATGTGGTCAATGGGGATGGTTCAATCCTGATGTGTCCGATATGTGAGGGTCTGAACTGGTTGAACCAAGATATGTAGCTCACCTGAACATTTCCTGTGGAAATATTTTATCTGTGGGAAAGTGGTGGTAGGATAGAAAATAATTCATTACCTACAAGGCTGCATAATTGATTTTGAACTCTGTCAAGGTTGCAAAGTAAGGATTGAGCAGCTGCAGCCCAAATATGGCAATAATACATTTTTTATTTGGTCTGAGCTGATTCTTATAAAGAATGAACATGACAAGGCAATAAGGAGGGGGGGTGTCCGGTGTCCAGAATATGCATCCCACTTGACTGCCTCATGGTTTCCAGCAGCAAGAGGCTCAGCAAAGGCCCTAAACAACGCTTCAAGGATCAGTTGAAGATGTCACTGAAACAAGCCAACATCAACCCTGAGACCTGGAAAGCTGTTGTTGTCAATCAGCCTCCCTGGCATAGGACCATCAGAGATGGGGGTAGGTATTGTAGGGCTTGTGTGTGCGTGTGTGTGTGTGTGTGCGTTACCAAGGCTTTCAAGTCCAAATACTGACATTAAGAAGATCTGCGATGTGCTGTAAGGAGGGCCTGACTTGCCTAACTGCATCCACCAGCCACACTCCCCTGGGATTCCTGCTCATAACTCTACAGGAGAATGGTTAAATATCAGGGTAGACTGGGCTGTCTAGCCTTGGGTGTCAAACACTGTAGAAGAACAACTCGGTATTCTAAACTGTAGAAAACAGGAAACCACTCTCTTCTCTTTCGCAAGAAGATATGGTAAATCATAGATAATAAAAAAGAAAATAAATCTGTGTGTAGATTCATGATCATTTTTATCCTAAAGAGACACAAGTTAAAATTTTTTTTTTCCTTCTATTATATAATCAGCTAAGTAGCCAGAAGAGAGTTTCACAAGTGAGAAGTGTGAGACAAGAAACTGTTAGCATAGAACTTACAATTGCATCGAGCCAATTCAACTGTAAATTGATGAGACCTTGTTGTCAAAGGTTGTTGGAAAAGTTCATAGGTTAACTATGAAAAAGTGATGATCGAACTGTGAAATCCTGCATGTTTTAATTTCAACTTTTATTATTAATAATTTCATTGTTTATTTCCAGGTAAACTGACACCTGACTGTTCAAAGAAGACTTCATATATCAAGACACACTCATGACCAAAAACGTCAAAATTACAATTTTCAGGTAGATTCTCTGCAGTAAAATTGTTATAAGTTTGTAGCCAACCATAGTATTACAGTCAAACTTATATCATTTAAAAGCATAGAAATAGATCTTTAATATAATACAAAAAAAGTTATTATTTATTATAGTTATTATTTAGTAGCAAAATAAAAACTGCCGTAGTGCCCATTTTAGCATGTTTTGTCATATTCCAGTTTTCCGTAGTGACACCCTAGTTTCAAAATAATATTGTAGTAAACATTGAATATTTTTAAAATTTTCTGACAAAATAGATTGATTTTCAATCCGTATTAAATTATAATTCAATTTGATAATTGCAAAATGCAGCTGCACCCTGTTGAAGTTGACTGTATATGTTTCGGAATTAAATTAAGCTATCACTTAATAACATGTTGGTAAATAACATTTTCATACATCTTTTGGTATAAAAATTATAAAAATATTCCTGTAATCTTCACCAGAGAATTTTTCTAACACTGCTGATAGACAAAGACCTAACTGGTTGGGATTTATGCGATATGTGTCACAAGGAGAATACCCCCTACAATCCAAAAGCACTTTGTTGCCTATAACGAATTAGGTTCCTGAAGATTTGACCAATGAAATTTGGTTAATACAAATGGCAGTGAGATCTCATCAATTTATGGTTGAGCTGGTTAGACATAGTTGTAAGTTCTATGCTAACAGCTTCTTTTCTCACCCTTCTCACTTATAGAACTCCCTTCCGGCTCCATGCTTTTCAGCCAACTTTAATTTTCAAAAATGCAATGTCAATCGCTATCTACTGTTCTCCTGATTACTCTTTCCTCTTCCCACTCATTAATAATGTTTCTGTTTCTAATTCTTCCACAACCTGTAATCCCTTGTGTCTTAGTGGCTTTACTGCCTTGCATGGGGGTGATACTGATTACCCCCCACCAAAAAAAAAAAAAACATTGACTTGCATAATAAATTTAACATGGTGCAATAATATTGCATAGTTTTGTTACTGACCATCCAACATCTTTGGCCCTTGCATTCATCATGTACGTCCAAAGGTGTAATAAAACATCTTTTCGGGATAAAAGATAAACAATAGCGAATCCACAAATCCGCTATCAAGGATTTTAGTGAATCCTTCTCTTTCTTCAATTGTGAATCCGGCATTTTTCTTGTTTGTCTTTGGATTCTTCAGATCTGCAAATAAAAACAAAGACAAATCATTATTTATTCCTGAAAATCAAATCAGAGAAAAAAATATTCCCTGTAAGTAAAATATAGAAATATTATAAAAACTTTATATATACAGAGTTTTTTTTTTTTTTTTTTAAATTTGAGACTGGGATTAATCTTTTAAAAGGAAAGGTTGGTGTTGTCTAACAAAGGATTTGTCATAATTTGAAGAAAAGTTTTACAAGGTCAGATACTCTTCATGACGTCTAATTGGGCACTCACAGTAGTCCAAGTACACGGAGATGCGTTGTTAGTTATGATGAATTTTACTAAATATTACTTAGTTTACCATGAGTTCAAATTTTTCCAAGGCCCTCCTTATAAATATTTTATGGGTATAAATTAATATTTTTAAACTGGACCCTGCTGCTCCCATCAGACTCCAATCTGAATAACCACTCTTTCATATTCTCCTTCAAATGTCTCAACTCCTTTGCTCAGAATTAAGTCCTTGAATACATAAAGTCACTAAAAACTACATGCACTAGTATGACTCAACATGGGCCACTGCCCTGTTACACTTGAAGCAATTCCTTAACATCAGAAATAATATCCCCACTGGAGATAAATTTAAAAAACAAAAAACAAATCAAGGAAGTTGGGCAATATACAATTAATTCCTAAAAATTAATTTTTATTTGCAGAATAAATTTTAAGAATTTAATTTCTAACCAATTTCCTTGTGTGCCACATTCAAATCTCCACAGAGAATAACTGGTTTTTTGGCATCCAATTTCTTCAAATACTCCAAGAAGTCGACATCCCATTCTTTGCTTCTGTAGTCAAGACGAACTAATTTCTTGCCTGCATTTGGAATATCTGCAAATTTAAAATGGAGAAAGAAATCAAAAGAAATTACCAGAAAGAATTTAAAAATAAAATTCATTCATTACAGATTTAGTCTCTTGGTTAAATTTTTTTTTTAACAAATTGTTTTTTATGATTTTGCTTTATATTAGCAAGTTCACAAGAACTTCAATAAGCTGCACTATTTAGGACCAATGTGCTTTTTATATTGATGAGTTCATGAAACCTCTAATAAGCCCAATTCTTTAGATAAAATGTGTTTTTATATTAACCTTTATCTAGCTGGAGGTAAAAATTTAGAACCAATGTGTTTATTTATATAAGTCCATGAGATCTCCAATAAACCCTACTCTTTAGAACCAATGTGTTTATTTATCAGGTCATACCATAAGTTCTGTTCGAATTTTAACTTTTTGTTAAAATGAACAAAATTTAAAGAATATTTTATGTCTAATGGAACTGAACATTATTTTTATGTTTAGATGCATTTAAACTGACCAAATTTTATTTCAGAGAACAATAAAATTAAATTTTGTTTGATTAAAACCCTGCTAATATGGAAGTACACAAGAATCATTTGAGGTACATAATGCTTTATGAGTTCAAGAAACTCAGCAGTCGAAGCAGCTAGAAACATTCACTCAGTTTATGGAGATGAATGTGTGAATGAAAGAACTTGCAGAAGATGGTTTACAAAATTCAGAGGTGGAGATTTCACCCTTGAAGATGAAGATCGAACCGGACGTCCAGTTGAGTTTGATGAAAAGCTTCTTGCAGCAGCCCTTGAAGAAAATTCTGTTTTATTGGGAGTGGTTCTCAGTTCAAGCCATACAACATTTCATCGTCATCTTCAACAACTTGGAAAAGTTCCTAAACTTGGAAAATGGGTGCCTCATGAATTGTCTGGAAACAATCGCAAAACCCGAGTTGACAGCTGGTCTTCTCTCCATTCTCGCCAACTTGTTTCACCTTTTTTGGATAGACTTGTGACGAAAAATGGATCTTTTATCGAAATGTTAAGCGTCGTAGACAGTGGCTTGGTAAAGGGGAAGAACCCCAGCCACAGCCAAGAAGGGAACTTCATGGGCAAAAGGTTCTTCTTTCAATCTGGTGGGATCACCAAGGAATAATCCACTTTGAATTCTTACCACCTAATGCAACAATTAATGCTCAAATATACTGTCAGCAATTAGATCGTTTGAACCAAGCTTTGAGGAAAAAAAGACCTGCTCTAGTGAATCGGAAAGAGGTGATGTTTCATCAGGACAATGCGTGACCCCACACAGCAAGAATCACGTCACAAAAGATCGAAGAACTTGGTTGGGAGAAAATTCCTCATCCACCTTATTCTCCCTATCTTGCTCCTTCAGACTACCATTTGTTTTGTAGCTTACAGAATCATTTGGAAGAAACAGCTTTTGTAACACAGGAAGAGGTTAAAACTGAGATTTGTGAGTTCTTAGAATCAAAGCCAAAAGAATTTTACAGTAATGGAATTAGTAACTTGTTAATAGATGGAAGGCAGTCATAGATAATCAGGGAAAATACATTGTTGATTGAATCTGTAATTAAATGTAACATTTGGTCACTTGTTTTCTTTATTCAAAATTTGGACAGAACTTATGGGATGACCTGATATATAAGTTCATGTGATCTTCAAAAAATAACCTAGTCTTTAAACCCTAGTCTTTAGAACCAATGTGTTTATTAATATAAGTTCATGAGATCTCCAATAAGACCTGATTTTTTAGACCCAATGTGTTTTTTTTTTATATTAATATATCAAATGAATGATATTTAACAGCTGCAGGTGGGGGGGTGCTGATGATTGGAAAATCCCAGTTGTGAATCTTATAACAATTATGAATGCATCAACTGAAAGCATTTCCACATATATAAGAGCAAAGGGAAGTGTAGGGGTTGGGAATCAAGTGCATTGACGCCAGTAGACATTGTGTACTAAAGACATGCATATTTCAACCTAACAAAACCATGGCGATGGTGATAGCGCACTATATGTTTGGAGAAACATTTAGAAATAAAAGGAATGAGTAATAAAATTCAATGGAAAGGCTTATTAATTTATTAAATGTTATGAAATTGTGCATCTATAAACCATGACGTGTGAGAAGGGTGTGGGCAGTTTTTTTTTTTTTAAATAGAAGGTAGAAATGCATTAGCTTCACTCCTTTTGTATGTGAGAGAAAGAAAATAATATATATTTTTTTTGAATTGATGTTATTTCTTTATATAGATGTCAAATATTTTAATAAAATTATTAATATTATTATTATCAATTTGTAATTGTGATGGTTATAATGTGATGAGGATGATTTCGCTGCTTAAAATGACTAGACAATGTATCTATTCCGAAATATGATCACTCCCTTCCCCCATCCTATTTTTTTAACTTGTCAAGTTCGGGGAATAAAATATATTCTGGGTCACCATGGCGACTGGCTCAATTCCTTTCTTTCCCTCTCACTCCCCCCCCACCATGTCTATCTCTCTTTATCTCCCCTCTAACAAACCTTATATCGAAATCTGTTTTTCTCTTCTTTTTTTCTTTCTATCCCACTTACTTAATATTAAAACTTTTTCCTTTTTCTAGTTTCTCTCTCTCTCTCTCTCTCTTTTTTTTCTTTTCCTTTTGTCTGAATAAACTGAACTCCAATTATTTTGTAAAATTTGGTCTCAAGAGATGGACGTCTGAGTCCATGAAATAAATTATCACCTGAATGGATTTTTAAGGCTTCTGTATTCATTCTCTGGGGAGGAAGTGTGGGTTTTGAAACAGTGACTATTACGGCTAATAATGCAGAACTCTTCGGTAAATCGAATCGAGTTCTCTCAGTCACCGTGTGTTTGTCTAAAAATAAAATGCTTAAATTCACCTTCATCCATGCCGTGCACCAACGGCTTAGTGGTAGAATCCCTGATTGACGCCAGTTCAGTTGAATTTTGATCATAGCTAGAGGCAACCGGATGTCTAGCCACACTAATGAGCGAAACAGTCTGTCTGTGGATGACATATATATATATATATATATATATATATATAGTCATCTACATATAATTTTGTTCATACATTAATTTTTATAGATAAAATTTAAGTAAATACTCTGCTTTTTTAATTAAACAATATTAATTACATTTGAATTGAACCTGTAACCTTAACGGAAACCATCATTTGACCATTCAGCCGACACAAAGAAGTGTATGGTTGGCAAAACCTGAATTACTGTTTATAAACACACACCTTCAATGATTTTTCTCAATTGATCATTTCTGCTCATGAAAGGTATCTTAATGTAAACAATGACAACATATTCTGAAATGGATTAAGTCTGAAAATTATTTTAATATATTTTCTGTTTATATATTTTCTTCAGTGGTAGCACAATTTAGAATGTCATGCAAAACACAGGTGCCAAGTTAAGACTGTCACATAATTTAATTTTTGTTAAATAGATCTGGTTATCACAATACAAGGGATGTCCATATTTAATACAGGCATTATTGTTTTTCATTTTTCCTTTCCTTTAAAAAAAGAAAAAAAAAACAAACAAAAAAAAACAAAAAAAAAGAAGAAAAAAGAAAAAAAAAGAAGAAAAAAGAAAAAAAAAGAAAAAAAAAAAAAAAAAAAAAAAAAAAAAAAAAAAAAAAAAAAAAAAAAAAAAAAAAAAAAAAAAAAAAAAAAAAAAAAAAGAAAAAACAAAAAAAAGAAAAAAAAAAAAAAACAAAAAAAAAAAAAAAAAAGGAAAAAAGAAAAAACAAAACAAAAAAAGAAACAAAAAAAAGAAACAATGCAAACACACAACTTATTTATTTCAAGTTATAACGGTAGAAATAAAATATAAATACAATTATTCACATCTAAATATTTATAAAAAAACAAACAAAAACCTACAATGCAACAAAGGCAAGACATAATTAAATAGAAACTAATTAAGTTGAGCAGAGCTAAAATACACTCTTAGATAAAAAAAAACAATAATTATTAAAAACACATACACATCAACACAAATTACATAATTGGGGTTTACAAAGGTAGGATTATAAAATAAATCATAAATAGACACCTGTGGGGAAATTATAATAAAATAATACAGCAGTAATCATCAATATCATGGCACATCTGGTCAGGTGAATCAACATTGGACACATACAGGGTGTTAGGGATAAATTGTTGCCATTTTATATTTTTTAATTTTGCGCATGAGTGCTGTTTGTTTTTGTCGACTGCACAGTATAGTAGGGTCAGTTGGGCACCGTCTGGGAGAAAAAAAGTGCACAAAAAATTGCCAATGAAATTCGACTGTCTGGGTCAATTCATCCTTGGCTGTATGGGCTCCCAAAAATCCACAAGGATGGGGTACCATTAAGACCAATTTTATCAATGGTTGGTTCAGCCCAACACAAGGTAGCCCAATGGCTCTCAACGCTTTTGGAACCAGTGTTGCAATGCTTGAGTGGATTTTGCATAAAGGATTCATTTTCCTTCGTCGACCGAATTCAAAATTTGTCTTCTTCGGGCAAGTTCATGTGTTCCTTCGATGTTTGTTCTCTATATACTTGTGTCCCTCTTGTAGAAACTATCAACATTTGCTGTGATTTGCTTTATCGCAGTTCTTTGTCCCCACCAAGTATTCCTGAGTCAGAATTTTTTGAACCTTACATGACATAGGATGTGTGTATGTATATACTGATTCCCTATGATAAGACAATATGTAAGCATGGAGAGGGAACATGCAATATGTAAGCATGGAGAGGGAACATGCAATATGTAAGCATGGAGAGGGAACATGCAATATGTAAGCATGGAGAGGGAACATGCAATATGTAAGCATGGAGAGGGAACATGCAATATGTAAGCATGGAGAGGGAATATACATACACATATTAGCAAAAAGCACACATGCAATACATAAAAATGGAAATAGAAGAAAATAGAGGGGTCAAAAAAGATAAGAACGAAAACATCCTTCCTTGGAGCAATCCTAATTACTTTATTACCCCTTAATCAGAAAAACAATTTTGTGACCAGTCCACGAAAGACATTTGGATTACTACTAGACAAAAAAGAATGGTTAGACATCAAAAAACATAAGGGAAATTAATTCCTTTTAATAATATGTGGAAATATCCACTCTTTGCCTGAAGTAAGTTGCGAGCCTGGAAACACGTGTAGCAAAATTATGGACAATAAAATATAATGTATATATAAAAAAATCCGTATGATAACCAAAAATGTTTATAGTTTCTCTCTTCTTTTTAACATATACACTTTTCTCTTGTTGGAACACTATAACCTCTTCTCTCTCTCTCTCTCTATATATATATATATATATATATATATATATATATATATATAAAGTGAACATTGAAGTTAACAACCAGAGACAACAGATAGTTCCATGCTAAATTATTCATCATGTGGCCTGTTTAGCATCAAACAATCTGTCGCCTCTGAGTTTTGTCTTCAATGTTCATTTTATATTACATATGATCTATCTCTGATACTGACCACTTTCTCACATAAATACAGCATATCTTAAAACTATGCATATAGATAAAGGCTATATATAAATAAACATATTTACAATATATATATATATATATATATATATATATATATATTCAATTATTTAATTCTTTGATTGACTTCTTAGTGCTTAAAAAAACATTCCTGTCTCCATTCCCAATTTAGAGAAGTATTAATGATCAAATACAATATAATTATATTCCACCAAAAAAAAAAAAAAAAAAAGAAAAAAGAGAAAAAACTAAAACAAAATCTTTAAATTCTTGAAGTCCTCTATACAAGAAAAATACAACCAACACTAAATAAGGTTAGTCATGAGTATAGCAACAATCTTTTAAAATACTTAAATTGTAATTATAAAAAAATTACATTTATATAAATTAAAGTTAGATAAAACATGAAAAAACATAACAGTTAATTATAACAATGTGTTTGTAAGTGTTTAAAATAAAAACTATCTGCTGAAACATGATCTTTTTTAATTCATATTGTAGAGTATAACTTTAATTTTATTTTGTTATTTTTAGTTGATTAAATTTTTTTTTTTTTTTTTAATATCTGTAATTAACATGTTGCATTTATTTTCGGCAATTTTAGAACCATTGTTGTTTCCAACGCAGCTATAGCTGATCTTTACATTATTTTTTGTTAAAAATCTTCTTTAATATTGTAGAATTATTGAAGTGTTTATAGGAATTAAATTTATGGAATTTCTGCCAATATCTCTTTGAACATTATAGCTATAAAGGTGGGGTGGGGGGTTTAAACCCTAACACAACACTTATGGTGTCTTTTTACCATTTTTAATTTATTCTAAGTATTAGATATTAAATTTGTGGTTGCTTTGTTCTAAGGCATTTATATATTTAATTTTATTTTCATCAAATATTTCTTTATTGCTGGAGTTAGTAGATAATCAAAATTGTACAGATTTATAAAAAATTTTTAATGTTGTTGGATGTTTCTACTGACGTACTTTATGGTTATGCAGGTTTTTAGTATATGGTTTGTAATTACCGGTACTCAAGTTCAAGGTCACATTAGTATTGGCGTTTGCAGTAATTTTTAGTTTGTGATCTTTGAAGAATTTAGTCAGTTCCTTTTTTGATCGATCTGCATTTCTTGGACTTGTTTCATGGAGAAGAATTACACCATCATCACTGTAAATTCCTTAATATTGAATAGAAAGCTTAATCGGCACAATAAAAAAATCTCAACCAGTTTACATGCTTTAGCAGAGTCAAATGTGCCCACTGCAATGTTAAATTACGGGTGGTATTTTTTTTGAAGTCCACAAACAACCATAGTTTATAGCTCTGTTATGTTGCATCAAGCATTATTTTATTAACACCAGCACTTGATGTGCAATATTATATATATATATATATATATAAGGAAAAAACCAATAGGAAAACTGTAGTTTTAGCTGATGCATTTCGTCCAATGTGGACTTTTTCAAGGCAAAAAAAAAATTAAAAAAAATTTATTGAAACAAAATATATATAAGCAGCAAACAAAATGTTGTTAGCAGCTAAAAGGATTTAGAAACACTATTGTATATTCATATGGTCAACTGAAAAATCATGTCAGGATATTTTCACGTGTAGAAATATTGTTTGTATTGCGTTGATGGATAAATTTTCTTTTGATTTCTTGATATATTTGTTGTGTACATTGGCTTGGGAGTATAGTGATTCTGTTAGGAAAGGTGATATTGGGAAAAAACCTGGATATAGATTAATAATTTGATAATATTCAATGGTGGCACTCTTGAGGACTTTCCTTCTGAGTGAATTATTTTCTTTTTTTTACAATTGTGGCATTTATAAAATCAAAATTGTGGTGGAATTCATTTCTATGTATGACTAGTGTATTTGTTAAAATGCTATTTATGAGGTCTTGTGTGTGTAAACACGCACAAACATAGATATATATATATATATATATATATATAAGATAAGGGTAAATTTTAAAAACTGGCTGCTGCTGTTATTAATGCTTCGCTCTTCAGTTACAAATTGAGCCCTCATGGCTACTGGCTTTTGTATACAACTTCGGATATAATTCATTAAAATTTCCTTTCCTCTGCCGTGCACCGATAGCTTAGGAGTAGGATCTCTGACTGATGTCAAATTGGTCAAGTTTTGATCCCGACTTGAAGCAAGTGGATGTCTAGACACACTGTTGAGCTGTGATACAGTGAAACGGGCTTTTATGTAGATGACTATCTCATTTATAATTATCTCTATCAATGTCTATATATATGTATTTTCAAATTAATAAATAATACAACTTAATTAATATTGTAAAATAGTCATTCAAAGAATAAATCAATAAAGTTAATGTAATTAATGGTGAATTCACTTTGTTAACAGATTAATGCTCGGTGGAGTAATGGATAGCAGCTTGGATTGAGGAATTGGAGAGCCGAGTTTGAATTCCAGTTGAATCCATTACATTCACTTACGTGCTAGTACCCACTTGGGAAAGATATGAATCCTCTTCTTCTCCTTCCAACTATGGTTAAATAGCAGGACAGACTGAGTTCTATAGCCCTGGATGGCAACTGGTCTACCGCAGAAAGAAATGGCAACCTACTGCGAGGAAAAAATCTGCCTCGTCAGTCATGTATGGAAAAGATACATGATTGTTTAAGTGTGTATCAGGCGTTTCACATAACTGACTGAACAGATTAAGAAGGCATTAACTTACTGACCACGTTCTGAATGACGAGATCCTTGTTTTTAATTGTACAATGGATTAGATGTTTGGTCCATAAATATTCTTAACTGTAAATTGCAGAACACTTTTTTAATAAAACATCTTTTGACAAGTGTCTTGGAATTTTTTTTACCTGGAATTAGCGGAAATTGAGGAAAAAAAAACAAACAAAAAAAACTATGCCTGAAGATGGTCAATGTTTTCACGGAAAGTACTTGTAAATATGGACTGAACATCTAATCCATTGTACAATTAGTAAAAACAAGGATGATGTTGTTCAGCAAGTGGTCAACACCTTGTTAATTTGTTAGCGAAGTGAATTTGCCATTAATTACATTAAATTTATAATATATAATTTTTTTAATATATTAAGAACAATTTTAAGGGAAAGAAGTTTGATGAAGTGGAAAATGTTTTTGTGTGATTTGTTTAGTCCTTTATGGTATCATGTGTAGTTGCATCAAAGTAAATATAAACATAGACCAATGAATCACTAAATGATGAAACGTATCACATGAAAACTTTTTCCACTGTGTCATGCTTTTTCCCTCTTTTATATATTTCTTTGAGAGAATAATTCATTAAGGTTGTCAGAAAGATAGGACACATGTTAAATATAGGAAAAGGAAAATGTAGTAGCAGCCTCCAATTGAACAAGACGCCATGACTATCATCCCAATCTTAAAATGAAAATGAAACAATATGCAGATGTCTATGGATGACTGTTGTTCTGCCATCATTATAATTCTCAATGAGCAATTCAAATTACAAATCACTGCCTATTGCTGTCAAGGGGAAAATGAAGATGCAAATTAAAACATCCATCTCATCAACGACTAAATTTGTTAATATCTTGAGATATTCTGGTTTTCTTCTTCATTCCAAAACATTGATCAATCTCAAAAATTGATAACCTTATCAGCTTTTTAGAGATTTCAGTTGTTAACTCCAGGAGTCTTGATAAAATTGTTGAGAGATCTGAATATATGATGTTAGTTTAATTAAATTTACATATCTCAAAAGCCATTGAAAATCAAGTATTACAAGTTGATTTTATATGAAAGTACATTGCTTTCTTTTTCAAATGATATCAAATTAAGCCTCCTTGGTATCACTTGTTATGAGATATGGTTTCAAAACTCTACAACTTTTACAATGTTGTAGATTTCAATCACCTTTAGTTGATCTCGTAACAAGGTGTTTATTCAAAATAGTGCTACTTGTTTGCAGGCATGTCCAGGTGCTCTCAGACTGTAAATATGAGAAACTTTGGGTGTTCTTAAAGGAGTGACTTTTATTAGTTTGTGTAACACCCATAACTTTCACTGGCCTGCAATTCTTGAGCTTGGGATATTTTAGATCTTATAAAGACGATGTGGGTAGAGGAGTCTCCTGTCCAGTGTTTGAAACAAGATCCTGTTCTGTTACAATTGGTTGTTATCAAAACAAAAAAAATCCAATTTATTAAGCATGTTCACCAGCATAAAATTCATACCTTTTTATATCCTCCAAATTTTTGACAATAAAGAGAATTTCGTGATAAAATGGTATAAAATTAGTTGATTCCTAAAAGGACAAAATTTAAATTTTATGAAAGCATGAATAAATTCTGACTTACAAGCAGTTACAAGGTGAAATGAGTCATATTCAGCAGTTATGACCCTCCCTTCTTTATCGTGTTTCTCTATGCCTGAAAAATTAAAAAGAAAGTTAAAAAAATAAATAATAAAAGGTTTTAAATTTACAAAAAAGAAAAAAAAAGAAAAAAAAAAAAAAAAAAAAAAAAAAAAAAAGAAAAAAAAAAAAAAAAAAAAAAAGGTGGTTGATATAAAATATTTTCATTTTTCTTATAGGATATTTTATAGCTTTTATACACATTACCATTCACCCAATCTAAAGTCCAAAAGCCACTCAAGGTAGAGGGTTACTGAATGAGATTGTTTTATGGAAGTAAGAAGTGTTGATTATGAGGATATGTAGGATAGATAATGGTTGAGTCTCTGGGCTTGAGGTTAAGACTAATGAACAGGGAAGCATACATTTGGGAGTTTGTTCCACAAAGTAGTTTTGGGGAGAGACAGAGAGAGAGAGACATAGAGAAATGTAGAGAAAAATGCTTTGGATAGAGAGAGAGAAAAATGTTTTAGAAAGAAAGAAAGAAAGAGGTAAAGAGAAAAAGGTGTTTTGGAGAGAGAAAGAGAGAGAGAGAGAGAGAAAAAAAGGTGTTTTGGAGAGAGAAAGAGAGAGAGAGAGAAAAAAAGGTGTTTTGGAGAGAGAAAGAGAGAGAGAAAAAAAGGTGTTTTGGAGAGAGAGAGAGAGAAAAAAAAAGGTGTTTTGGAGAGAGAGAGAGAAAAAAAAAAGGTGTTTTGGAGAGAGAGAGAGAGAGAAAAAAGGTGTTTTGGAGAGAGAGAGAGAGAGAGAAAAAAAAAGGTGTTTTGGAGAGAGAGAGAGAAAAAAAGGTGTTTTGGAGAGAGAGAGAGAGAAAAAAGGTGTTTTGGAGAGAGAGAGAGAAAAAAAAAGGTGTTTTGGAGAGAGAGAAAAAAGGTGTTTTGAGAGAGAGAGAGAAAAAAAGGTGTTTTGGAGAGAGAGAAAAAAAAAAAAGGTGTTTTGGAGAGAGAGAAAAAAAAAAAAAAAGGTGTTTTGGAGAGAGAGAGAAAAAAAAAAGGTGTTTTGGAGAGAGAGAGAGAGAGAAAAAAAGGTGTTTTGGAGAGAGAAAGAGAGAGAGAGAGAAAAAAAGGTGTTTTGGAGAGAGAAAGAGAGAGAGAGAGAAAAAAAGGTGTTTTGGAGAGAGAAAGAGAAAGAGAGAAAAAGGTGTTTTGAGAGAGAGAGAAAGAAAAAAAGTCTTGGGAGGAAAAAAAATGTTTTCTTGGAGAGAGAGAAAAAGGTGTTTTGCAGAGAGAGAGAGAGAGAGAAAAGGTGTTATGCAGAGAGAGAGAGAAAAAAAGGTGTTATGCAGAGAGAGAGAGAAAAAAAGGTGTTATGCAGAGAGAGAGAGAAAAAAAGGTGTTATGCAGAGAGAGAGAGAAAAAAGGTGTTATGCAGAGAGAGAGAGAAAAAGGTGTTATGCACAGAGAGAAAAAAAAGGTGTTTTGCACAGAGAGAGAGAGAGATGGTGTCTTGCACAGAGAGAGAGAGAGATGGTGTCTTGCACAGAGAGAGAGAGAAGGTGTTTTGTAGAGAGAATTAAAAAAGTGTTTTGGAGAGGGAGAGAGAGAGAGATAGAGATACAGAGAAAAGAGGTTTTGGAGGGAAAGAAAAAGGGTGTCTTGCATAGAGAGAGAGACAGAAAAGTTGTTTTTCAAAGAGAGAGAAAAGGTGTCTTGCACAGAGAGAGAGAGAGAGAAATTTTGAAGAGAGAGAGAGGAAAAAGGTTTTGAAGATAGAGAGAGAGTGTTTTGGAAAGAGAGAGAGAGAGGGTGTTTTGGAGAGAGAGAGAGAGAGGGTGTTTTGGAGAGAGAGAGAGAGAGAAAGGGTGTTTTGGAAAAGAGAGAGAGAGAATGTGTCTTGCATAGAGAGAGAGAGAGAGAGAGAGAATGTGTCTTGCATAGAGAGAGAGAATGTGTCTTGCATAGAGAGAGAGAATGTGTCTTGCATAGAGAGAGAGAGAGAGAGAGAGAATGTGTCTTGCATAGAGAGAGAGAGAAAGAAAAGATGTCTTGCACACACAGAGAAACAGTGTTTTGGAGAGGGTGAGAGAGAGAGAGAGAGAGAGAGAGAAAATGTGTCTTGCATAGAGAGAGAGGGAGAGAGAGAGAAAAGATGTTTTAGAGAGAGAGAGAGAGAGAGTGAGAAAAGATGTTTTAGAGAGAGAGAGTGAGAGAGAAAAAAAAGTGTTTTAGATAGAGAGAGAGAGAGAAAAAAAAAGTGTTTTAGATAGAGAGAGAGAGAGAAAAAAAAAGTGTTTTAGATAGAGAGAGAGAGAAAAAAAAAGTGTTTTAGATAGAGAGAGAGAGAGAAAAAAAAAGTGTTTTAGATAGAGAGAGAGAGAGAAAAAAAAAGTGTTTTAGATAGAGAGAAAAAGCATTCAGAAATCATTTTTCCAGATACAACCTATAGTTTGAGATGCAGGAGATAGAATCATACCCCCCCCTTTCCTAAGTGGACTTAAGTCACTTTCACACAGCTGTGATGTGTCTTCCACCTGCTTTTTCTATAAATATCTTCATAGCAATTGTTTTAATGAGCTTTTCTTAGGAACCTTGACTGCATGAAGTATAATACTAGATTGGCAATTAGGTCTCATTGTTTTACTGCTGAAAGAGCTTAGATATAACAATAAGATCTAATCTAGTTCCTTCACTCATATTTATTATAAGCAAATTATACCCATGCCACCAAAAATTAACAAATATATATTATTTTTGTACTAAACTTTAAACGTTCTCCTTATATTTTGAGTATTTTAAAATATATTTACTTCTTGAACCAGACTGAAAATAAATTTAGCAAACCATATAATCCAACTGTTAACTTTCCACAACCAAAAACAAAAGATTCGCAAGGAAACTCTCATCAATATTAGAAAGAGTGATAACAATGAACTTGAAAAGTCTAATTCTTTGAAAAAAATGTTTTATTTATTATAAATTTCAACAGATAGTAATGCTGCTAAGGTAATGTTTCCATGATGAAAACAGCTAATTACATCATTATCAAACATTTCAGATAACTTTCTTCATCTATCTTCAGTACCTTCATTGCTCATCTGTAACACATCCACTCTCACTATATATGAGAGGGAGCTGAAAAGTTCTCAGCCTGACCAAGAAAGGATTCCTCTTAAAATTATGATGTGTAATCCTTTGATTAGATTTTTCCAAAATGAATTAGACATCATTATATATGTACACACACACACAATTAAAATATTTGGTATGCTTTAACAAAGCAGCCAGTGCTGCTGTTAGTTGAAATTTATAGGATCTCTTAAAATATTTTTTTTTTTTTTGAGAAAATTTGTTTCTCAAATCAGTAGATGTTATCTCTCTTTTCCATGTTGAAGTGAGGTTTCTTTCCTAACCTCATATTTGAAGTAGTTAGAAACGTGCTTGTGGCCAAGTGGTTAGAACGTTTGCTTTCTGGCTACAAGACTATAGTTTGAATGTCACTTGTGTCAATTTGTCAGGGAGCTGACTTCTTGATAATATTGGCCTAGAGAAGGTGATCCCAGCACGTGGCAACTTTGCAAAGTGTCTGTAAACTATATCACCACATTTCTGAACAGGTATGGTACCATGCATGACATCCATATGAAAGTCCTGATTTAACGAGGCTGTTTCAGGAAATGACTAGAATGATTTCAGGTTAATGTTTTATAGCAATTTGCAGAGTTGAGGAAAACAAACTCCAGCACAGCCTATGTTCAATTTCTTTATCTCCTATATTAAATTTGTTATAATTGATCCATACAGCAAATCAAGATCTCATCATTTTACAGTTCAAAACTATCTCTGGCACAGTGTATTCTGTGTTCAATTTCCATCTCTCTTATTCAAAATTTGCATTTTTTTTATGTTAATTTTAAATTTAAATCTAAGCATCCCTGTATCTTGAGGGTGTCTCAATATAAAATCCTAACTTGTTTTATTTTGTTCCTTTACCCTATGTTTATAAGATTCTGTAGCAAATGAGTCGACTTAAACAGTGTAAGGGACGCAACTCTTTCTGTCTGAAAATGTCTGCAACGCAAAACGATGTACACCAAGCACGGGTGAAATGTTGGTCTGCCAATGTCTCCAAGCAACCTGCTTTTATGGAGCCCAGACACACCTCATTAGCATGTGTGTAACGCGACTTTGCGTGACTGCACGAGACCGTGAATATTAAAAGTCACGGATGCCATTTTGAATCTTTTCTTTCCTTTCTCAACCCACAGGCCAGGAAGATGCGAGAACGTTTGCGGGTAGTCCGTTTCTATTTTCCCCACACCCCCTGATCTCATGATCACAGAGTTGACAGGGAGGTGGTGATCGCTTTCGCCGGGTACTTCTTCAAGAGGGGACGCTGCGAGCCTCATCGTTGCTTGTGCTCCTGTCTGAGGTCCGAGGGTCGAAAAGACACCGCGTCCCCTTGAAGGCTACTGATATCCGAAAGTCACTGCCTGATGGGGCTGGCGTGAACCAGAGCGATGCCTCACTGGTCTCAGATTCCGGTTGGCTCTCATCGTCCAGCGGTGGTTGCAACTGCGCCGACGGACGCAGGTCCTTAACGTGACGGGCACACCGTCGATTCGCATCGCCTGTGGGCTGATCACCTCAGTGACGCGTCCCCCGATTCCGTATTTCGTGGTGCACTTGCTGTGCGGATTTTTAATCCAGACGACATCGCCTTTCTTCAGCCTCTCTCCGGTTACTTTCAGTTCCGTCAGTGGGTTGGTTTCTATGCCCTTCACTCTAACGTGGTACCTATGCAATGTGTCTGCTGGCGCCGTGAGGGTGAGACATCATCCTTCGGGTCACGTTGTAAAAGACCGCCTCAGACACCGTGCAGCCCGTCCTGGCTGCGATGGTCTTGACGGTCCTGTGGTTCCGCTCGATGATTCCATTTCCACTGCACGTGGGCGCACCGGAACCGTAAAGTGCACTCCCCAGCCATCCGCCGCAAACTTCTCGAACTGCTCGCTGGTGAATGCGGTGCCATTGTCGGTTAATATCTCCGTTAGGGGCCCACGTTCAAAAAGATGCTGTTTAACTGACGGATGATAGTGGCTGCATCTTGCCGACGCAGCAGTCGCCATATCGCAAACCTGGATGGACCACAATCAATGAGTGTCAGGAAATGCTCGCCCGTTGTGGTGAGTAACATCTATCGCCAGCCGGCTCCAGTGGTTCCTCACGCCAGCTGCCCTTTCTTCCAGCAAACGGTGCTGGGTCTATAGACTGGCACGCCACGCAGCTTCTGACCACTCTCCTGACGTCTGTCTTTTGTACTCCTGGGTCAACCAACTTGGCGAAATACAGTGTCCGCTGACTCCAGGGTGCCCACTTTGTTGGTGGACTTTTTTGATTTGATTAAATCGAACGGACTCACGGACGCAGCGCAGGCTGGTTGCACGGGCTCAATGGCTTTCTTAGCGGCGCCAAGCCACCTTTTGCGGCACCCTTGTTAAACAATCTGCTTTGTTGAGGCTAGATTTGACCAGGGACACCTCCATTGTCAGTGCGCATCTTGCACTAAATTCACGATCGTGTCGAGCCGCCGTCGGATAAGCATCTCGCTGGTGGCTTTAGTCCGCACCCTGGCCCTCCCGGTCAAGGTATCAGAGATCCACTTATAAACGCAAGCGGAATCAGTGAACAGACGCAGGGTGGTCGACTTCCAGAGGATCGCCAAATTGATCCCCTTGATGACAGCATCGAGCTCCGCTTAGGTTTATGTGCTGGGAGTCCCTTTCTGGACGTAACCAGCAAGCATCTTCTACCACGGCTCCATCGCGGAACTATCGACGCCCGGTTGCAAGAGAGCTTGCGCCAACCCACACACAGAGGTCTTGGCTGTCAACGCACCATCTGCACCGCTGCTGGGTCTTCTTTATGCATTTCAGCGAGGACCTCCTTCATCATGGTGTTGAGAGGGGCCGTGAACTTCGTCATCCCATCCGGTGGTGACGCCAGATGCTCTCTGCTTGATAAACGCCACCGCAACACGCAGCCAGCCACCTACAGGAAGGTGTCCAACTAACTTGCCGCACAAGGAAAATATGCTTCATCGCCGTGACAACGGAGGGCATGTCTGGGAGTTCGCTTCCCCGTTTCCAATACAGGACGCCATCTTCCCCAGACCTGCAAAACCAAGCACCCGTGCACCATCCTGTAGTCTCTCGGTTCCTTGCTGAGGAGGCCAAAGTTGTAGAGATGCTCCTTCATGCGCCGCCGCAGATACGACTCCCTTCACACGTACACGCTATCAATATATGCAGATGTTGCCCGCTGTATGCGCCATCCTTCGTTAGAATGGCGCCAACAATCATCTGCATAATCGATGACGCCACATTGAGTCCAAACCCCATGCGGGTCAGGCAATACCGCTGCCCCTTGATAAGCATGGTTTGATAGGGCCACAGTGATTGGTGCACACGCACTTGAAGGTATGCCTTTGGCGAAGATCCAGCACAGATACATTTGATCCTGCTTGTCGCCATTCCCTTAGCTTCTCGGCACACACGCCCGCCGCTGGCAGTAAAAAGGTCCACGTGCTCGCTCAGTTCTCGATAGTCGAGCACCGCCTCACCTTTTGTTTGTTGTGCTGGAGAACCGCCATTAGGGGATCAGGCCCTTTGGGGGCCCCAATTCCTTCTCTGGATAAGGAACCAACCACCCGTTATTAATCCAGGCTCCCCAATTCCTTGTCGCATTCTCCGCGAGCTCGCTGGGGATCTTATACTCCGCACACTGTTGTACAGCTTCTCTGGCGGTTGATCGTCCGACCATTTCAAAGATACCGCCCAGGACTTTGTGCGCTGGTCGAACTCCGCACGAAAGTCAGGCCGTTCCAGCTCCATTGCTGCACCTAGAGCTAGACCTGTTTCAGTGAAACGCGCCTGACCCTCTTCGCCAACACGGACACCACCCAATTTTTTGATGACGTCCATTCCCAGGAGCAGATCATAGCCGAGCAGCCCTCCGTCCACGACCAGGGCTTGTACAGCTACTGCAGGCCCATCGCCCGATGCTTGCGCGATGACGCTCACTCCACAAGAGGTTAGCGAGCCCCGCCAACAGTCAGAACTGGAATATTTTTCTTGTCCCACGATGTCACAACATGCCTTGCGCACAAGGGTCTGGGTGCACCGGTGTCAACAAGCGCCAAGCGCCACGCCCGATAATCCGCACGCTCACTGCGGGTAGCGCCTTTGTTCAGCGGCGATCTGGGGAAAGACTGGCGCTGTAGTTATTCCCCTGCCCGTTTCCCGGACAGCTTCTTGCCACGTGGCCCAGCTTGTCGCCTGTAGCAACGCATACGCCTCCGTGTTCCTCGGTTATGCGATCCTTCCGCACGGCTTCGCAGTCTTTGGAGAAGTGGTTCAGTCCGCCACACTTATACCACCTTATGTCCTCAGTTGGCGGTGCGGGTGCTTCCACAGCTGCTGAGGCCGGCTCCAGCGTCATCTTTTAGAATATTCCGGCTCTGGCCAGTAATTCGCTAGCCCCAGCTCATTGAGCCTTGACGATGCTCGTAGCAGTCGACTTGGCGTTGTCTGGGGAGTCCTGCCAGAAAGGCGATCCTAGGATTTGGTCGCTTGCTCCACCGGACGGTGCGGCCAGCTTCCTCAAATCGCCAGAAAGACATCTACTGTTTCATCCGGTCCAAGCCGCCGCTCGGTAAACTGCCTCCAGGCGACAAAGGGGTCCGCACCAAATGCTGCGTATAGAGCTTGTTTTATTTCCTCCAAGTCTGCGCCATCCCTTAGCTGCTGATACACAGCGTAAGCTCCTTTGGTGAGTCTAAGAGGGATAACCAGTGCGGGATCTTTAATTTTACACAGCCGGCAGACCCGCTCGGCCTTTTCCCACCACTCGACCACAGACGGGCCAGCGGGGGAGCCGTCCGAACTCTGGTATTAACTTCAAGTCGAATCTGTCCATGCTGTAATAATTGCCGAAATAGCTTGTAGCAAATGAGTCGACTTAAACAGTGTAAGGGACGCAACTCTTTCCGTCTGAAAATGTCTGCAACGCAAAAACGATGTACACCAAGCACGGGTGAAATGTTGGTCTGCCAATGTCTCCAAGCAACCTGCTTTTATGGAGCCCAGACACACCTCATTAGCATGTGTGTAACGACTTTTATGTGACTGCACGAGACCGTGAATATTAAAAGTCACGGACGCCATTTTGAATCTTTTTTCTTTCCTTTCTCAACCCACAGGCCAGGAAGATGCGAGAATGTTTGCGAGGTAGGCCGTTTCTATTTTCCCCACAGATTCCATTGATAAAAACATTATTAATTTGAAGAAGCCTTGATGGATGACATAATATATTAACACGGGATGTTTTTTATTTTGTCATTCAATTACTCACTATTAGTCTATACTTAGATTATATGGCTAAATGAAAAACATGTATCTTACCAATTCCATTAGTCACAGACAATGGTTTTGTTTTTGAATAGAGGGCACAACCGGAGTAACCCTCTGTTTCTGCACTGTTCCAATAGTCAAAGTAGCCATCAATTTTGCATTCGTCTGGAATCTTACCATCTGAGCATTTGGTTTCTTGCAGGCAGAAAATGTCAAGATTTTCTTTCTTCATATAATCAAATCCATTTTTCTACAAAAAAAAAAAAAAAAAAAAAAAAATTCATCAGTAACAAACCCACAAAAATATCTGAAATGAATCATTTCACCCCAAGCAAGGCAGGAATGCCACTAGTACACAGCCCCCCTGTGTACTAGTGGCATTTACAGGGAGTGAAAGAGAGAGAAGACTGAGTATAGGAAGGATTGAGGAAAGAACAAAAGATGAACGGGATTCAAGAAAACAGAAGATGGTGATTGATGTTGCATTTAAATTTTTGACGATTTTTGTTAGCAGGGAAGCAAATAAACGGAAAGGAGTTCCACAGGTGGGGGGATGTTCAAGAAAAAAACCCCCAAAAACTGTTGGAATAGAAGTAGCAGATGCTACTTAGTTATTTCAACAGTAAACAGGTGGGATCTAGATGCCAGGCTTGTAGCATGCTTAATTGTCCACAATGAAAAACACTTATTGGTTTCTTGTACCACTTCAGTAAGTACCAGACTCCTCCTACCAGGCTCTATCTTTACAAAAGCCAGATCAAACCAAAGATGGAATAGTACCTTCATATCTGGGTTGGAGCTGCCCAAACCCCGCTTTTTGCTCCACAACCCCTATCCCACCTAAAACGTTGCAAGTTTCTCGCTTCTTCTTCCATGTACTGTGTCTATTCAGGACATGGGCAATCATGGCTCTCCACAACTTTCTCTACTTTATAGCTCTTAGTAAGATTTATCTTTTTACCATTTCTCCTAATCCCAATTCTGCCAATTATTTGCACACGCTCATTCCTCTTCTATGTGACGTGTCTCTTCCAGACATGGGCAATCATGGTTCTCCACAACCCAAACTAAAATAAATACCTAAAAGAAAAAAATATTTCGTAAAAAAGTAATTAACAAAAATTAAAACTAACTCAAAAGCAATGAAGAATTTTAAATGATTTTTGAAGTATTAATATTATAAATAAAATTTTAAAAAAATAAATAAAATTCTTATAAAATTAATTATTCATCGAAAAATTTTTTTTCTTCAGACAATAGTGTACTTAATATAACTTATTTACAAAAGCAAAAGCTTTTCTAATTAAATAATGTCATAGTGTTTTTACATTTTTTTTTTTTTTTTTTTTTTACAATTCAGAGCAGATTTTCGATGAAACAGGTAACTGTTTTACAAAAAAAAATTGGTGATTTACTTTCTCTGTCCTGTTTTTAACTAAAAAAAAAAACAAAAAAAAACAAAAACACACACACACACTCTCTTAAAAATTTAATTTCTTGAAATTTCATGAAAATATGTAAGGGGGTGGAAACATGTAAAAAAAAAAAAAAAAAAAAAAAAAAAATTTCAAAAAATAAAATCCAACAATTATTTGAATTTTGCAAGAATTTCCAAATCAATGCATGTTTTCCTTGAAAAAAGCACAAAATAAAAGATAAGATTTTTAACCAAAATTTTGAACGTGCAAGAAAGGAGTGAAAAATTTCAAAAAATAATAAAAAAATTACTTTGGTCTTTCCTCTTAATAATAGCAAACATTTTGATGACAAAACTTTGTTTTCACTGAGTTTTGGTCCTTTTTTCATCAGGCTATGCTGTTTTTTTTATATGCGACCTAGTGGACGTACCTACTTTTATAGCAATTTGTTAAATCCTCTGCCATTTGCTATTCGTGGATCATGAAAAAAGATTCGCCTATTTTTCTACACAATTCATTTCACTCAGTGAGATTTGAGCAATGATCAGTTAAAAGTAGTTCAATGCACATGAGTTTCATTCAGTGGAGAGGCCATCTTCCTTCTCTTTTCTGCAAAAACAGCATGTGACACATTTCAGCTTTCTGGGTATATACTCATTTCCTTCTATACAGCTTCCAAGGTAGTTTTTAAATAAACTTTAATAATATTTGTTTAAGTGTCACCTTTGGTAGCCTTGTCTTGATGTCATTTCCTATTCACAGATGTTTAATTACCATCACTCATATCACGTTTGTTGATAAAGAACAGTAGAGAGAGGATCTTTTCCTTATTTCTCTTATTGTAATGGTTAATGAGGCAAAGCTATTTGATTCATTTACCATTCAATACAGAGTGATCTTCACTGTGTGCCTCATGGAAGATATGACACAACAAAGGCGAAAAAAAAAAAAAAAAAAATCAGCCGAACAATCCTCTTAATTTCTTCTTATGGAAAGGGAAACAAATTTGGACTTACCCCTGTGGAAGAAAATACTTACCATACATGTTGGTGTACAAGGCAACTGGGCATATAAGATAATCCCCAAAATTTTAAAGTTAGAATATAGGTTTCAGACTATATTCACCATACAAGGTGACCTCCTTCCACCGAATTGTATTTTTGCAATGTACTGTATTGATTATATTAAATAAATTCAGGATATATATATATACTTTCTTTTCACTCAAATTCTAATGAAAATGAAAAAAAAAAAAAAAAGTGGGGATATATTTTCAATTAACTACCACAATCTACAATACAATCTGTTTATTAAAATAGATTTAAGAAAACATCTTTGTTTTTCCAAAGGTAAAAGCAACGTCAACCATTCAAATTGGTGTGGATTTATTTGAAATCAAAAGAATCAAATTAAAGGTTCCTATAAAAAAAAGGAACTTGCAGTAGCAATCCTGTTTTTAAGAACCAAATCCTTTATTTAAACCCTATTGTATTGATTAAGGGGAGAGTACTGTGAGAGAGAGAGAGAGAGAGAGAGAATGAATCTCCTATTTGCATTCCCCCATTATAATCATTATTATATTCATGATATTGTAACACCTTAACCTTTCCCACGTTAATTTCTTTCTAGAGTGGTCTCCCCTGCCACTGCATTTTTTTTTTTTGAGGGTGTAAAAACATGAACACCTACTGTTTTAAAATTGTTACAACTTTCTTTGTATTGTGTATAGATTTTAATTTTTTGTACACTAATAAAAGAATGAGTAATATTTTGATGTAATGCATTATGTTTTGCATGCATGTTTTAAAATTGAAACAAAAAATAAAAAAATTCGAAATAAAAAACAAATACATTAAAAATATCTAAATAATTCAACGTACTTTAACTTTTATTATTTCTTGTGTAGTTCTGGTGGTGCAATAAGAAGCAAAATCGCTGAGAAGAAGGCTTTCATTTCATCAAAAAAGTGTTTTCCTCGTGTTTACATATGAGAAGACACTAGCATTTGTTTGCTCTTTTTTTCACCTGACTCATATTTGTCTCGTTGATGGAGAAAGTTATTATTTTGTCGTTTATAAATAGACAAAATAATTCACCTTCAGAAAGGTTATCAGGTATATCAATGGTTGCCAGAAGTTTCCATAAAATTAGTCAGGCATGGATGATAGTAGCCATTAATGGTCATAATCGCTTTCTTCCATGTCACTAGCATGGTTATCATCTTCAACCACTTCACCATCAATATCCATTCAAGTAAAGCCTTCAAAATCATCATCAGTGTTAACAATCAAAGAAAAAGGTGGGTTTAATGTTACACCTCAGAGTCTAGAAGAATTCAAAATGGCATTGGAAAATGGAAGTTTAGCCTTGTTCCAAAGCAGTAGTAGGCGATTTCCAGCTTAAAATACCGGAAATAACAGTTGATAAGTGTTTATTTATAGCAACCGTCTCAGGCGACTATTGTCAACTGCAGTGTGGTAAAGGTTAATACATGAATGGAACAGAATAGTTAAAAAGAAAAAAGAAAAGAATGACAAGCATGCTTTGTTTTTCAGAGACTTTTATACTGTGAAGTCATACACAAAATTATATGCACATATTTACACTTGTTCCACACAGAGAAACTATAACATATGTATACAACAAGCAGTGTGAAAATGGCAAAGAGATATTAACATCATACATGTAATAATTTCTAATGTGAATGTGAACTGCCAAAGCTTTGTTGTAACCTAGGAAAGGTTACTGAATAGAATAATCCTACAAGGATTGGTAATGAACGATAATACCTAGGACAAGAAAAACACATATAAGATTTGCCAGTGGCATGTAGAAGTAGTCAAACGCTGGAAGTGAGTCAAGTGAATTCCACAATGAATTTCTAACTGCAGACCAACATACAGTATTTACTACTGTATTTATGTGAATAGGGACATACTCATTATTGTCTGTAGGTATGCTACAACAATCTATGTTTCTGATGAGGACAAATTTTCAAACATGAAAACTGTGCTATTGGCTTGTGTCTTGCCTCATAACAGCAGGACCAGGCAGGCAAGTAAGGTTAACCTTTGCCCATGTTAAAAAACAAACTGCTTGTCCAGGTAGTTAACTAATAACTGACGGTTTTCATCACTATAGGAACTGATGTCACCAAGTGTCCATCACGCAACTTCATCTCAATTAAAGGGAGATAATTGCCTTTTGTATTCCTACAGTATAAATCAAACATGGACAACCTTTTCCAACCAGAGGGACACGTGAGATATAGTTCATCCTCATCATCAGGTGAGTCATGCTACTTGTACAGTAATTGGCCATGGTTAAATGCAATTAGCAAAAATGCCCAACAAACGGAATTGACAAAAGTTTTCAATAAACAATAAAAGGAAGAAAAAGAACAGAGCAAAATAATATAAAACAAGCAATATATATGCAAGACAAACTAGGCAAAGAAATAAGGCAAAAGTTCACAAAGTAAGAATGGTGTTAATATGCAAGAAAAGGGATACAGTCAAGTGATTATAGTGTTCTGACTTCAAAATAAGAAAAAAATAAAAATAAAGTAATAACTAAACTCTACATGACAGGAATTCAAATTGCATTTCTACAAAACTCTTCAGATGAAGGGAAAATGAAAAAGAAAAGACTTTTACATTGGTGTTTTTTCACAACTTTTTTTATCAGATTAGTTTAACTGCTGGCCACAATGACTAATTGAAATTAGTTTTTAATACTTCCATATTATTATCCACCAAATGAGAAAATGAAAGAAGAGGAAATCAATATCAGGTCCAAGGGAGATAATTCATAAAAGAATACGAAACAATATTTTAGACTGCATGTGGCCACCATTTCTGTGTTAATATTTTTCACAAATTTTAATAAATAATTTCTTTTTTGAATGGTGAGAAGAGATACATTTAGGCTCTCATATTGGCATGAGAGTGTAGCTGAGATGACACTATGCACACAACTAAAAAAGAGGATTTTTTTTTCATAGTAACAAAAGGAATAGATTTGATAATATTTTTGTGTGGAGGAGGAGACAAAGTGACAGATAACCACCATACACAACAGAAAATGAGGAGTATTCCCCACCCCCCAACTAGTGGAGAAATAGATCTGATCTCATTTTGAGATGGCAGGGATACACAAGGTAAAAGACAACAAACAAAAACAAGAAATCATGTTAGAAAGAGGTTTGAGAGAAGATTTTTTAAATAAACTGAAATTTCAAGGAAGAAAGAGTTTTTTTTTTTAGTTATTACATAAATGAAAAAGAAAAACAACATTAACAATGTCATTAAAAAAGAAAACTGCCAATGAGAACCTAACTTTTAAAGAAAAGTCAGAATATTTCTATTCTATGACACAATGGTAATCCTGTATTCCTTCGTTGTTCCTTCCCTGATTAAATAAAACAGTAAAACGGGGTCAAAGTGTCAATCTATTTATTTAGAAGAAATGGTCACTCAGTAATGCCATCTCCTTTCATGCATAAGCAAATTCTTACTTACAGTTAGCCATGCCCGGATTCCATTCACATTCCAAGAACCAATCTTCAAATTCCATTTCTTTTCAGAATCTTCAGCATTGGTAGAAACACTTGTTTCTTCTTCACCTGATGATGTGCCTTCCTGTAATTGAAAGATTTTGTCGAGGGATGAGATTAAAAAAAAAAAAAAAAAAGTTTAGTACTGGCATTCTTAAATCAAATAAGAGGTGGTACTTAAATTTTTTTTTTTTTTTACTAGCATTGAAAGAAGAAAGAAAGAAAGAAAGAAGAAAGAAAGAAAGAAAGGAAGATTAATTTCTGCTCATGGGCAGAATGCTTTTTGATCTTTAAGCATTGTGCCAGTGAAAAGGCAGTATCCAAAGAACAATTTCCCCCTTGAGACTGCTATTATTTTAACTACCTTCGCTTCCTGGCAATGGCTGTTTTTAAAAGGTAATGATTAGAATTTTAATAAAACCCAAAAATATGAAAGTGAATTTACAACAAAAATATTAAACCATATTAATTAGACTGTTTATTTACAAGAATAATTTTATATTTACAACATTCTAAAAATCGTAACCAACAATGCAATGTTTATCATTTATCAATTTATAAACAAATAAATATGAAAATAAATTGTTTTGTACATAAATTTATAAAAATGTCTGAACAAGAAAATTTAAATAAATATAACAAATAAAATTATAAATTTTGGAAAAAAAAAAATGTATTTTCCAGGCATTTCTTTCATACAACATTGATATTTTTATAAAATTATGAATAAAAAAACTTGTTTTCCTAGTTATTTATAAAATGGTAAATAAAAAAAATAAATATTACATTGTAGATGATTTATGTATTTTGATAATTTTTTATTTTTTAAAAAAATTTTTGAATAAAAAGATCTCTTTTCACATTTCTTTCTTTACAAAATGGTAAATAATAAATCTTTATAAAAGACAAATAATAAATTTCACATCGTGTTTGGTTCACATATTTTTATGATCTTGTAAGTAAACATTGTCGAGGGAGTGGAGGTTGCACAAAATAATAGCCATCCTGACTTGGTACCCAAGGAACAATCGGTTTCTCCCTTGAAGCTTTTGTTGATGCCTACTCAAATAAGAGTCATCCTGTTTCATAACTGGACGTTTGATGGTAGTTGGATGATGTAGGCGATGTTGTTACCAAGATTTGCATATGGATTGGTGTACTGATTTGCATGGAAAGAGTAAGCCTTGGTTTCTTAGCCAATCTCAGCAGATGTGTACTTGAGACCAAGCAGACCTGACATTGGCATTTTTTTTTTGAGTGAAGGAGTATTCTCTCAGATTTGTTGTCAGGCTGAAGGAAAAAAAGCCTTGGAGGCTGATAATGTATGTGCATTTGTTTTCTACTGCGCTTTTCTTACACTAAGAGGGGGGGAGAGAAAAAAAAAAAAAAAAAAAAAAAAAAAAAAAATAAAAAAAAAAAAATAAAAAAATAAAAAAAAAAAAAAAAAGAAAAAAGAAGAAAAAGTGGCCAATTCCAGCAGTATATGTTACCCAAGTAAATCACAGAACACTTGTACCCTCCTTTGATACAGCATGAAATCACCCGATTCTATTTATATTATATCCAGGAAAGCTTCCTACCCTGCTGCACAAAGAGTATTTTTCTTTCTTTTTATGTGCTGTGTCCCTTCAGGGTGTAGGCAATCATGGCTCTCCACTTCCCCTTATTCCTTGTAGCTTTCAATAATTTTTATCCCGTTCCACCAAACCATGTTCTGTCATCTATTTGCTTAAGCCTGCTAGGTATGTCACGCATGGCTTTTCTTTGTCTCTCTTTCCCTCTATTCCTCTATTTAAGTGAGTATCAGATTCTCCAAGCCCTCCTTTCTCATTACGTGTCCCAGAAATTTCAGATGCCTCTTCCTGATATTAAGTATAAGCTTTCTCCTTGTTTGCATCCTCTCCATAACCTCATCATTGCTCACACGCTCGGTCTATGGTATCCTTCTGTAGAATCATACATCCGTTGCCTTGAGTCTCTTCATCTGTCGTAAAGGAGGATAGATGTCATGTAGCAGTTCGGTACTCTTTTCTTTGTTACTCTTAAAGAGTATTACCATACCAATAATCAATATCTTACTTGGATCATTCATGATGTTTCTCCCTTTTCAATGATGTATCTGCTACATATTTCTGAGATGAGGTATTATGTACACTATTTACATTATTCGGACTATTGTCCTCATCTTTGTTGCCATATTTATTACAACTTTTCGGCCATTGTACGCTTCGGCCCTTCTTCAGGTGGTTGGAATGTCGAATTGAACCCTTTATTTCGCTCACTGGGGTAGACTGTTCTAGTTCCATGTGCCATGCGTCCTGAAGGACACATGGCATAGTGGATAAAGGCGTTGGTTAGATTCAGTGACAGGACCCAAAGAGTGTGAGTTCAATACCTGGTTAAGGCGGTGGAGAACTTGGAGAGGGAAATTAACAGGAGATAACTGACATCCATTAAACATGGCACGTGGAACTAGAACAGTCTACCCCAGTAAGTGAAATAAAGGGTTCAGTTTGACATTCCAACCACCTGAAGAAGGTCGGAGCGCACAACGGCTGAAATGTTGTAATAAATATGGCAACAAAGATGAGGACAGTAGTCCAAATAATGTAAATAGTGTTCAATGATGTACGTGATCTATTATTTGACCTCATCTCAAAGAGGCACAAATATGAGGTTTTCTTTCATTATATATGGTGGCCTGCTTGACAAGACTTCTCTACTTGCCTTTTGGAAGTGTCATTCTTGGGTTTCTTTGAATAGGATCTAAATAAGCTACGGGTGTCCTCAGCTCAAAAACAATGAAACATCTACAAATTCAACACTATTTTATCTTCTCATCAACTACTCTTGCTTTAGAAACAGGTTCTTTGTAGTTGCTTTTGTTTTGAAAATTAATAATGACTGAACAATCATAATACTTTAAAAAGAAGAACAGGAAGACATTGACCAAAGAAAGTGATGCTACTTACCTCTTTTAACTTTTTGGATTTGACCTCTGCTGCCTTATCTGAACTCTAAAGGAAAGAATTAAAAAAAAGAAAGTCAACTTGAAACAGATTATCAAACACCAGTTTTGTGTATTGGTTAAGTCTAAATTCATTGCTAAGTAAGGATAACAAAGGTCTATAGAAAATAAAACATTGTTCAGAAAAAAAAAATTCCTTCCATGTCATTTTAACTAATTTGGTTTTGTTTTATTATATAGCATATCTCAATATTTTCTGTGGCTGGACATTTGGCCAACAGACATTTCATCGAAAAAGTACAAGTAAAAATAGTAACAAGCAATAATTTAAGTATTTTAATTAGTAGTATTATAAGGTAGAATAGGACTAGTAATTACCACTGAATTTCGAGTGATTAAATTACTAAATCTAAATTTAAAGTTAAAAGTTTTCTTATTTCAATATTTGTTTATTGAAATTAGTATTTTTAAAAATATTTGAATATATTTGGGTAAAAAGTAGGACCTAATTATTTAAATTCATATTTAACAGTAAGACAAAAGCTAGCTTATCCCTTTAAGTTAATGATCACTAAAAGCAAAATTGTATGATCTTTCATATTGTAAAAGCAATAGTAAATGTAAAAGCAAAAGTAAAATGTGCTTTTTCTTAAAATACTTATTATCTTACAGTAATATTTGAAGTAAAATATAATATATACAGAATAGATTTAAAAAAAAAAAAAAACCCTTGAAAAATTATAAATGAATACAGTAAATAAATATAAATATATGCAGCACATTACGATAAAGAGTGTGACATAGAAGTACACCACTATATTTTCGGCTAAATGTGCATTTGGCTAAATGTTTGTTGGTCAAATGTACGAGTGCCATATTTTCCAGGTTATTTAATCCCAAATTCTGTGGATCTTACTTATTATAAAACGCAGATTGTGTGTGTGTGCCTGTACGTTTATATATTGGATCGGATTGCCTGCATTTTTCAACTGATTTCAACAAAACTTCACAGGACTGCATAAAATTACCTTGCGGTGGTTCTGACAGCACCAAAAATTGAAAAAACACAATTGTTTTTGCACGAAATCAATTTGAAAACACAATCCTGTCGCCAGAATGAAAGGGGGACAACTCATGTCGATTTATACTTATTATACAACCCAGGTTGTTTGTGTGTGTGTGTTAGTTTATATATGGGATCGGATTTCCTACATTTTTCAACTAATTTCAACAAAACTTCACTTTTTTTTTGGCAGGTAGTGTTTCTTATTGCCTTGCACACTTTTTTCTTTATTTTTACATTCAGAATGCTTTAAAAATTCCATTTACAAGACAACTGTTTATAATAAAATTCTATTCAATCGATAGACTCATAACAATTGAAAACAATGTTTTTGTTTGTGTTTGGGTTTGACCAATTCGTAAAAAAAAAAAAAAAAAAAAAAAAAAAAAACTAATTAAGACATGTGTGTCCATCAACCTTAAACAATAATCTTTGTCAATTTTATTTTCCAGTCTTTATGATGGTTGATACTTGATCTCCCTGGGCAACGCCTGGCTCTACTGCTAGTATTCAATAGAAGTGTAGACAGTTTTAGTTTACATGAGGGCCAAAAGAGGTAGACATATATATATATATATATATATGGTAAACAGATGGCCTCTTTTATTTCTGGTGGAGGTTATACCTTTGCATTGGGGAGATACAGACTTGGTGTATTCTTGACACCAACATATAGAGGCTGCCTTTTAACCGAGGATTAGTAAATTCAAAACAGTAAATGCCAAAATATTACTATTATTTTCACAGTAAAGTTAAGCAAAATCTATATAGAAAATTCTGTAACTTCTGTTAGGCTGTTCGTCCACTCGTCACACCTTCTAAAATAGCCATACAAATACCAATCGAAAACAAATTTTGGGGAGAAGTGCCAACAAGTAAGGGGTTAAAGAGTACAGTTGGTTTTACTAGGGTATGTAGCTTAGTACAATAAATTTTCATTTTTTTAAAAAAAAGTTTTATTATTTAATATACAAAATACTCCCACTATTTTAAAAACAATTTAATGATCAAAATAACAAATACTTATTTAATAAAAATAAAATATTTTTCGCACATCTTTTTTTTTTAATTTTTATATACAAGAATCCAGTTTCCAGTTTGCCCTGTGTTTGCAAGATCTATAAACAAATCACAAGGCCAAATGCTTCAAAAAAGTTTATTTGGCTCCAGAAAGAAATATTTATGCATAGTCAGTTGTATGTTGCATGCTTAAGTGTAAGAAATCCTAAGAATCTAGTCTTTGTTGTTAAAAAAGAAAAAAAAAAAATTTTCTTAAAAAAATATTATCATGAACTCTTATGAAATTAAATTGAAGAAATTAATAAACTGCAAAGTAGGGTTTTTGTCAAAGTATTTTCCAAACAAATCAGCTTATTCAAATTTCACCGAAAGAAAGAAAGAAGTTCGTCTTTATTGTACACTGAGAGGTGCATTTGAACAAATTCAATTTACAACTACTGAATTAGATGCAAAGGTAGATAATCCATTCTTCATGAGAGTTGCCTACCTTGGCATAAAAGAGTTTTTAGCTTTTATTGTCTTTAGTTTAATGGGAAGATATTGACCTCCCCCTGCCCACTCCCGCCAAGGTGATGAGGAAAAAAAAAAAAGAATTCGGTTAGAAAAGTTTCAAAGGTTTTAATTTTATGTGGGTGTCTTATGTTTTTGATTCTGTCATGAGAAATAAAGATTTTATGCTGTCTTAAATGATTTGTTGATTGACACCACATTGTTAACGAATTTTAATTAGAAATATAGATTATCTGCTATCTTAAATGTTGTTATCTAACACTATACACACACATACACACACAGTGGTGTTCGATAAAAGTGACTCACCTTATCCTTTGAATTTAGCTCAACTTTCGTTTCATCAGAGAAGAGAACATTCTTCCAGTCTTCTACGGTGAAATTTTTGTAATAGTGAGCCCATTCAAGTCGCTTGGCTTTGCTTATTAGCGGCTTAAACCTTCGTGTACGAGATTTGTAGCCTTGTCCTAACAGCCACTGACAGACTGTTGAAGAAGTAAGACTAACACTTTGCTCTTCACTTAGACTGGTTGCAATTTCTTGGCTATTTATAGTCCTATTCGTCGCAACTTCTCTCTTGATTACCCTGCCAGTTCTATCATCAATCTTTTTCTTTTGTCCCCTTCCTTCTTTCCTTCCTTAGAGAAGGAGTAGCATCATTATGTGCCCTAAGAACTTGAGAAACAGTTGATTGCGAGGTTATAGCAAATTCTGCAATTTCTCTTGTAGACTTGCCTGCTTTTGAGAGGGCATTAATAGCTGCCGTAAATGGTTCTGATGCGTGTTTGTACCCTTTCATCTGGTTAGTGACTTGAGTGGCTATTTCAAGCTGTTTTTATACTGTATGAGGCTTTCTGGAATATTCTGGATTTAATTGAAGCTGTTCTAGAATATTGTTCTGAGTGTATTGTAAAATAGTTTTCAATATATTGTCAAAAGCTCTTTAAATTTACCAGTTTAATCATTAGAATATCTGAGTCACTTTTTTTGCAGAGAGTTTTTTCCTGAATCTCATTTACATCCAAATTTATAATTATCAATAGAATACCTTAGGGTGAATACACTTTTTCCTAGGTGGTTGGGAAGGGGTGTTAAAATTACTAAGATTAAAAATTATTTTTAACCGCGAAAACAATAGACAAAAAATATTTTTAGTAAAAAAAAATCAGGTGAGTCACTTTTATTGAACAGCACTATATACACACACACACACACATTATATATATATATATACACACACACACACATACATACATATTTCGTTGGATTCATGTTTGTAACCCTGGGTTTCATGCTTTTGCAATCAACTGATATTAAGTGCTTTCAATAAGTACAGTGTATATATATATATATATATATATATATATATATATATATATATATATATATATATATACACACACACACACACACACACACATACATACACACAGAGACATATATACATAAATATACACAGATATACACACACACACACACACACAAGTATATATGCATATATACACACATATGTATATTGTCATAGATCCTCGTCTGGCACCAATATGGTGATGGGGAATACAACCAGCACCAGGCTAAGATCCATGTATTCTTCACGATGATTCGTTTATATCTTATATTCCCCGAATAACCTTCCATTATGGGATCACTGAATAAATATTAGGGTTATTTCTCTTACATCATTGAATCAACAGCAGATAATATAAAAAGAAAAGAAAGTAAGTGAAGTCCAACTCAATTATGGTCTAATTGAACTGGGCTTCCCCGGGTTCTTGGAATAACACATTCAACCGACCGGTGACCATAAATGAACTAAGCGACATGATGAATAATATTTAATTAACAACTGCATGTATGTGCCAACGACAATAAAGACATTATATCATATGAGCTACAACATATATTTAGTTGGAATGTGACAAATATTAACGAATGCAATGTTTCACACATATACAGGGGTATAGTCTCAATAGTCTGGTTTTATGAATATGGAAAGGTGTATGCAAGAACATAATATTATTGGGGGTTTGCGAATCATAGTAATACTGGGGGTTTTTGGGGTATACACTTATCTGAGATATGCATTTATCGACCAAAGGTGATAATAGTCTCTTTTCTTGTATTCTTGATTCAGCGACTGGAGCTTTAGGTTCTCAACTGGGATCACATTCTCTGACTTATATTTATATTCAACATTTCTTTTTAAGGCGATGATCTCCAAGGGGTTCAGGTCAATTGCGTCTGGACTATCTTCACGTTCTTGGCATTTGAGTGGCTGGTCTGCTTCTCTGCCTCTGGGAGTGTGTTGTCTCAGCGTGCGAACTGGGACATAGACATTGGTGTGACTTATCGTCCGCTGGTCTCTCCGATAAAGCTGCTTTCTTTCTACTCTCCACATGTGCGTCTCCTTTTTTTGGCGCCTAATTTTCTTGACTGCTGATTGGCTGCTTTTGACC